TTTTTTTTTTTTTTTTAATTTTGGAAGCGGGTCTTGCAAAGTAGCTTTGTTACTTGCGACAAACTGTATACATAAAACCTTTGTACAACCTAGAGTAACTATTTCCAAAGACGATCCCCTTGTTTCAAGTTGGAACTTACTGAACCACAGTGGAAAAGGCAACTGTTAGCCTAATTGTGGGGGGTGCTGTATACTTCCCCAGTGACTGTCTGTATGCGGGTACACGGACAAGATCTGGCATCTGTTTAGGGACCTGTTTTGTATGACCCCCAACCCTGCACCCATCCTTTGTTTTTTGGTTTTTTCCCCTGAATGTACTTTTTTTTTTTCTTTTTAACTAAGGTTGTCAAACGAATTCCAAAATTCCTTCAACCTTGGAACCTTAAATAGAATGCCCTCGAATGGACTGATTTTTGTCCTTAGGGAGTCAATGCGTGTTGCTGCTTATTTAAATACAGTTCAGTTGGAACCCCAAGAGTGCCAATGTACTCACTATGCTTTGCAAATGCCTCCTTCCTGAACCAGCAGGAGAGGTGGCCTTCGCAGGGACCCTCAGGTGACTTATTTTGGTTCGCCAGTGCCTACGCTGTGGAACGGGGTTTCCATTCTTTAAGAAACTCATGGAAGGGCATGTTTCTTATAGGTACACATACTAATTTGTACAAAAATGTCCTTGGTGCAACTTAAATGCCAAGTGATTGTGAAGATTGTTTTTGAGTATTGCATGAAGGCTACGAACAGGCAAGTCATGGGTGTGAAAGCTTTAATTTATCTACCTCATTTATTTTTATTTTTGTAGCCATAGTCTCTATTTTCCTATTTTATGACCGCTGAAGTGTTCTGACGCCCTGTCTTCAACCTGAGTTGATGTATGGTGGGAGTGACTGGACATTTAAGATATCTCTATGGTTCTTTGTTGTAAACGCCCCCTCCCCCTGTTTGTATATGTAATATGAAGCGAATGAGGGCACATTGCTCTAATGGTTTAACAAGGAAGGAGAAAGAAAGACCTTAATTTCTGAGTGGAGAAGTCTCCTTCTATGTGGAAAAGTAGATCAAGACTGTTATCAAAAGTTTGTGTTATTGCACCTGACTTTAGGATCCAAAAAAAAAAAAAA